AACTTTGAAGGTTGATAGCACCGCTAATATGCATCGTAGACCAAATCCGAGACCAGATTTGGAAAGGGGAAGAAAAATCGAATCTACTAGTAAAAACAAATTTTTGTTTTGAAAATTTTTTTTTTACTTTCAAACTTTTACGAAGTTTTAAAATTTGCACAGTTTCCAAGTACCTTAACCAAATTTGGCTCCCGTTGGCTTAAAACTTAGCTTAGACCCTCCTCTGCAAATTTTAAAACTTCGTAAAAGTTTGAAAGTAAAAAAAAATTTTCAAAACAAAAATTTGTTTTCACTAGTAGATTCGATTTTTCTTCCCCTTTCCAAATCTGGTCTCGGATTTGGTCTACGATGCATATTAGCGGTGCTATCAACCTTCAAAGTTGCACTGGTGCAGCAATTTGAGAAAAAAGTTTTTTGGCTATATCTCAGCCCTAGGGGCTACATTCGAAAAACTTTGTACCGGTCATGAACTAGTACCATGGGGGTAACAAACCCTGAAAAGAAAAATCAATTCGGTGACCATGGTGGCAGAAGCCTTGTCGACTTGGCGTGGAATGAATGACCCACTGGATTTCTCGTTTTTTCGGCGCCAGGAGCGAACGATTCGACCGATTCACTTCAAATTTCGTGTGGAGGTGCCCGAAGGGCCCCCCAGTCGCCCCGCGACGTTGCCGAGCGGCCGCCGGCTCAACAACCCCTCCAAAAGGGGTGGGGGCGGCGGGGTGGTGTAGCCACCCTCAAAAACGTTGTTACTGAAAAACATGCAAATTTTTCGACGTGATGTGATCCAGCCGGCCCAGAACTTGCGGGAAATCACAATTTCAATCCATTTACTGCCTTTTTTCGCGTTTTTGTGGCAAAAACATGATTGGGGGTGTCAGAGTTTAGGGGATGGGCGCCCTCTGGGGGGTGCGACGGGTTGGCAAACACTTTTATCGTGACCAGGGGACCATCCCCTACCACCCTGACCCCTCGAAAAAATTCCGAAAAACTCACCCCCTGCATGGGGTGGTTTTTGCTGTATCTCCGAAACGGTATGACTTAGGGGGCTGATTCTGTGCTCATTTTAAAGAGGAGCTCAAAATGAGTCGACACTAAAATTTTGACAGCTTTGTGAGACCTGGAAGGACACTTTGTACCGACCGAAAGTCGCGAAATTCGACAGTCCTTGCGTCAAGGGGTGGAAAAGGGCACTTAGGGGTGGGTTCGATTGTTGCCGCTTCAGATGTGTGCAGTCAACACTCCAGACTACCTCTGTACCAAATTTCAAGTCTCTAGCTCCATCCAGGGTGAAACTACACGGGTTCAAAAAAGTGGATACCTAATTTTGGCCGCCATGACCTACGACGAGGTCCAAGCTTCGAGAATTTCGAATAAGTTTATATTATGTATGACGTAAATATGTAACCATATTAAAATGAGTTATTCATTTGTATAAGATTTTCTAAGAACTTCTTGCATTGTAAATCCAAATATATTTTTTTAAACACCTAAGAACACGACAAAATTAAACATGGTTCTAAAGTATATTGAATGCGTGTAATTTTTTCAGTGTTACTTCCTCATTCTCCGAGTGTGGCTGGTCCATGCATTCCGGCCCCTCCAGGGTACCATTGAAATAATTTGCAAAATAGCTCATATGCAAAATGCCGACTTTTTGGCACAGATTTGGTTAGCTGCATTTTAAAATGATACCCAACACTTCATGTTTTATTTTTTTGCAATATTTGAACTGGATTCATTGTACCGTAACGTCACCTACGATGAGAATGAAAGAGTCACTACCATCGCCCTTTTATTGAGGGACGCCACGTGATCGCCTTTCAAGGGGGAGGAGGCAGTTGCGATTTTTTTTTTCAGGAGCTCGGGCCTGGAACCTCGTCGGGTGTGTGGGACTTTAGACTTTTTAACAGGCTTCCCAATACCGCGCCAGCTACGACAATCCGAATCTGTGCCTGGCGTTTACATCACCGTGGCCTGCATACTAGCCTGCCTCCTTGCATGGATGGGACAGGATCGATGGGATTTGATAAATGGATGGGTTGATGGGACGGGATCAAGGGGGAAATCACTTGTGTAATGGTCGGTCGAAGGGTCTGTAATAGCCCTGTAATGGCCCTGTAATGTGTAATACCTATGTAATGGGTGTAATGCCTGTAATGGTCCTGTAATGCCTGTAATAGGTGTGTAATAGGTGTAATATGTGGGAAGAAAAATACAGAAAATGGCTAAAACATTCGCGAAAGTCAGCGAAAAAGTCATTTGGCTGCAATTAAAGTAATACCCAACGTCCGGATCGAGCCGAAAGCAAGCCGAAAGTGGCATGTAGGGTGTGTGTGTGTGTGTGTAAGGGGGGGGGGGGTCTCTTGTGGGGGCAGGCGAGGGGCTAAATCTGTAAGGAGGGGTAGTCTAAACCCTAATCTGGTTAAATATGTACAAGCTATTAATTGATTGGAAAGACAAAGGTTCCTGTGGCCAAAAGACATTCTTGTCAAATGATATTTCGGCCAAGATTCAAATTCCCAATTTTTTCATGGAATTTATCAGGACGGGTTGTTGAGAACCGTATCTGTTAAATAGATAGTACAACCACTTCCAAAAGAATCCGACCAGCCCGGCCCGGCGATACCCCGCGCGCCCAGACGGCTACCTCCAGCGGCTACCTGGGCGCGGCGGGGTAGCGCCGGCCGGCCGCGGCGGTTTGATTCTTTTACAAGCGGTATGAAAGGTATCGGGGGCACTGCGAGAAAAAGTGTGGATAGTACAACAAAGGTACAACAAAAACTGTACAGTGAAAGTACAACAGGGATTGTTAAAAGTACAACGAAAATTGTACAAACCACAACGAGGCCTTGACTGCACAGCACTCGTCATGCCGATTCCATTGTACTTTGTACAACAACTGTTGTACTTAAAAAGTACAATAAATACCTGATAAAAAATTTGCCAGAAATTTGTGTACTTTTGTTGTGGTTATTTCTAGCGGTGGGGGGGGGGATGAAAGATCCCCCGAGACAGCTAACAACAGGTGCCACTGCTGTACTACCTAGCGATACCCTGTGCCCACGGAACAAAATAGTCCCTCTGGAGGCTGAAACCTGTTTCCAAGGCCGTTCTAGCAGCGTAATAGCCTTGTTATAGTCGTGTAATAGCTGTAATTGATAGGTAATTCCTGTGTAATTGCGTAATAGGTGCGTAATGGGCGTAATGATTGTAATTGCTGTAATTGATGTAATTGCACTAGAATGGTACTGTAATAGCAGAAATATCGATGTAATATCTGTAATTTGCGTAATAGGTGTAATTGTCTGTAATGATTCAAAATGTAATAGTCGGTCGACCATTTTCATGAGTGATTTCCCCCTTGGACGGGATATGAGGAAAACTTTAATGACAACTTTTCTTATTGCGGATTCTTGGTATTTGTCATCGAAATAAAAAAAATGTGGTGACTCTTTTTATTCCAAAACAAAGACTATCGCCGTTTGCACTGTTTGTAGAGCGTGGCGTGGTGGCAGCCCTGGGGCCCGCCCTCCCTGCTGAGCACCAAGTGGCTGCTGGTCGAGCTGGGCGGCGTGACGTGCAGCATCGCGGCGCAGTACACTGTTCTCTTCTTGGAGCAGGCCGTGCACAGGGCGTGCGCCGTGATGCTGTGCGAAGTGGGGAGGCGGCTGCAGCGTCCAAAGGTGGGCTGCACTGTTGAGTGTGGACCAACTCCACGCATCGTTGCTCTGCACACTAAAGTGTGTACATGGTACACTTTCATTTACAGCAGGCTTCTAACAAAAGTACACCCTTATTTATAGCATACTTCCAAGCAACGCTAAATAAGAGTGTGCCTTAAACGCTTTAATTCACTCGATTAGTCCTATCTAAAAGCATGGGCCAGTTTAATCGTACTTGGCAGGTATTTAGCGCGTGCTTGGAAGTATCCTACGAACAAGAGTGTGCTTGGAAGTATGCTGTAAATGAGAATGTACTATGTACACTTCAGATTGAAGAGTGCGTGGGCGAGTTTGGTTCACGCCCTCGTGACTGCCGCGGACACTGACGAGGTGGTAACCACACGCGTAATAGCCTGAACACTAAAACCGTATGCACGTGAACGTAAACACCATTCTTGGGTCAAATATTTTAAGGCCGTAACACGTGTAATATCCCAGTAGTACAGCTTAATACCGAGTAGTCTGTACACGATTTCTTGAGGTGGTTACCCCTCGGACACGGACTAACTTGGACAAAACTGTGAAGCGCGGACCAAACTAGACCACCCGGAGGTGACAACGGCCAAGGAGGCGTGTGCAGCCATGCTCGAGCGAGTTGCTGCCGCTACGCAGCTTCGAGACTACGAAAACTAGGCCGGTGTTGGCAAAACGGCTTGCATACATTGAAATACACTGATGGACAAAATGAATAAGCATCGCAAATTCAGAGCTTCAGAGCACATATTATGAGTTCAAGTCAAATACTGTTTCAAAATTAGGAAAGTGAGTTCTTTATGCTGGATTTTTTTCCCTGAGCGATTCCATGCGCTTGACGGGTCAAACCTATGGTTGTGCCCTGTCATTCGGTTTGAGGTTACTGTGCCGAGTACTGCAGCATTTTTACAGAACTTTTTGCAAGGCGCTGAACCAGCATGGTGAGTGAAAAATTGTGCTATCTGCAGGGATCCTTAACATAACATTTAACTAACACTGCTTTCATAACGTAACATAAGACAATATTCGCTAAAGGTTAAGGTTACGGACTTATAAGTACTTGCTGAAGTATATCCACACAAATTCCAGACGTATAAAAAATAACCTACCCTTTTGAAAAGATGTTAGAAGTTAAGGGTAATAACTTTGACTCTTGTCATAACGTTATGATGCTCTTATGAGGTAAGTTAAGGATCCCTGGCTATCTGTAAGTAAAAACAATTTATGACGGCTCTCAACCTTCTATCAGCTGTCATAAGTGCAACCGATGGTCACATCCCAAATCCTCCTGTGCAAGTCTTCTCAAACAACTTGAAAAGTGAATGACTCAATCTTCGACTCGTCCACGGACTCAGGTCCAGGGCTCAACAGTAAGTACATGGTTGAAGATGATGAACTAAGAAAACTGGCAATTACGTTGATCTGCCAAAACAAGAAACTTGAAGAACGGGTCAAAAAAACTCGAAAGAGACTAGAATTAACTAAGATCGCAACTCCTAACCAAACATGTACAAAATGAACAAGCTCCTGCCACCATCAAAGCTAGTGTAAACAATGAACAAAGTGTTGTGAGTGGCGCTGTATGTACCTCCAAGCGTCCAAACTTAGCAAGAAATTTCATCCGAATGGCTGATGGCAATCTGCTTGAAGTGCTTGGTGAACATGACTGTGATGCCCCCATTGCCCACTGCCCACTGTATCGCTGCAGATATGCGCATGGGTCTGGCATTTCAAAATCTATGCAGAAGAAATCCAAGTCTGATACCTCTAGTGCCAACAAACGCTCAGTGGGTGAATAGTTGAGCAAGAGATAGGCAAAAACCATATACTGCATGTTATCACAAAGCCCATCTCAAATGAGCTTCCAAATTGGCAGGACTATAAGAAAGCAACAAAGAATCTTAGTGAAACCTGTGCGAGCACCGTAAAAAAAATATTACTGAAATTTCATAATTTTAGTCTGAAGTTTTTAAACAGACTAGTGGTCTGAAAATTCAGAGTAACTAGGGGTACGCGCCGTTTTGTTTGGGCGCGTAGTAGGCGAGCGACGCGTCCGTATTCTTGTAGAAGATGGCGAAGAATATATGCAAAGTAAGCCCAATACAGGGTCAATGTGAAACTCAATTTTAAAAGTTTGGTCACAAATTGGTAAATTTTGGGGAAAGTAAAGGTCTGGGATGAAATTGGAAGTCATTTTCGTGATCAGCACACCAAAAACTGCAGGAAACTATGTAAAACTCGATGCGAAAATTTTGGTCCGAAATTGGTAAATATTTGGAAAAGTAAAGGTCTGAGATGAAATTGGAAGTCATTTTCGTGATCGGCATACCAAAAACTGCAGGAAACTATGTAAAACTCGATGTAAAAATTTTGGTCCGAAATTGGTCAATAATTGGAAAAGTAAAGGTCTGAGATGAAATTGGAAGTCATTTTCGTGATCAGCACACCAAAAACTGCAGGAAACTATGTAAAACACGATGTAAAAATTTTGGTCCAAAATTGGTAAATATTTGGAAAAGTAAAGGTCTGAGATGAAATTGGAAGTCATTTTCGTGATCAGCACACCAAAAACTGCAGGTAACTATGTAAAACTTGATGTAAAAATTTTGGTCCGAAATTGGTCAATAATTGGAAAAGTAAAGGTCTGAGATGAAATTGGAAGTCATTTTCGTGATCAGCACACCAAAAACTGCAGGAAACTATGTAAAACTTGATGTAAAAATTTTGGTCCAAAATTGGTAAATATTTGGAAAAGTAAAGGTCTGGGATGAAATTGGAAGTCATTTTTGTGATCAGCACACCAAATACAGGAAGCAATGAAACACCGAGGAAATTTTGGTCCTAAATCGTGTATGTAATTCTAGTTGAAAGTATGGGTCTTCAGTTGTTAGGTTTTTTAAGAGCGTTTCCTGTTCATGGTGTCATGCCATGAACCCTGACCCTGTTACTCAGTCGAGTAACATTTAACAGCCAGCATTGAATTGCTTAATACGATTCACAAATACTTCAATTACCATTCGATACCTCCTTGTTATTGAACTTATGAATACGCATTGTTATTAGTAATACCTAAAAAGCCTTTCTCCCTTTTAGTTTAAACTAGTGGATTAAACTATATTGATTTATCTGCATTAATTAAAAAGATTACAGGCAGGCTGATTTAAACTACTTTGCGGAGAAGACCTTCTGTCAGATCCAATGAATCGTTTCATAGAATCCAATGTCGAGGCCACTTATTGCTAAATGCAAGTTTATCTTATTCATAATGATAGTCATGGTGTGTTATTTAATCTTTGAAACAGTTTAGCAAAAGTATTTACCTAACATTCTGAGTAAATGAAAAAAAAAAAAGCCAACTCAAACCATGACCAACACAATATATGATGAAGTTAAAAGAATCGTCTCATGAAATCATATGACCAAGTCAGTGAATCGTCTCATTGAATCTGATGTCAATGTCAAACCTTGAATGCGCTACACTCACTCATCATATGGTTTTCTTTAAGGTTAGTACTATAGTAAACTCACAGAATTGCAATGAAGCCTTTTCCCAGAATCAGTGCCAAGAGTCAGCAAAGACTATTTATTTTGGCAAGATTAGCATCTGGTTTGTACTCATAGAATGTATTAATATATTTTCTAACTGTTATTGAGCAAAGCAAACAACTAAAAAATATAGTGTCTGAGAATATAAATGGAAATACACTCACAAAGGTTAAAAAGACCAAATCATTCTTGCAATTATCAAACAAAGTGCACTGACTAAAACATTTCCCCTGTAGCGGGGGAGGGGAGGGGGTGGACGGACGGACGAAACGCGTAATAATTGTCACTTTCATTTTCCGTGTTTCACCGAGTTGACACTCCGGAGGGGTTTCAATCATTCTAAAATATCGAAAAACTATGACCGTACTCACTTCTAAGCCCTTCTGCTCTTTAGTTTGTTTTATTTGCCAATGTTTTGCCAGGTCCCGTATTTGAGAGTCGCGGCCGCAAGTATGAAAAATTGCTACGAGCCGCCAACCACTGCCAACCTAACCACGCTAAGAACCTAATTCAAAAAGATGTTTTGAATATTTCAAACAATAGTAATCGTGAATATAAGATGAACTCCCCCTGGGGGAGATTTAGGAGCCTTCCGGTGCGAAATTTTGAAACTATTTGTGCGGTAGTTGCTGAGAAACGTGAGTGAGTTACAGACAGACAGACGCACGACCAGTCACTTTTTGGTACCCCCAAACACGGCATGGGCTCGCTATCGCTCGCCAAAATTATTCAGACCATTCTGTCTGAATTCCAAATTTAGACTACTTGTCTGAACAACATTTTCAGACTGCTACTCTGAAATATTAAATAAAAGTGCCATCTATAAATCAAAGAGAGAGAAATCAAAAAGAGAACAATTTGAACCACCAACGTGTGACGGTACCTTCTTTCCACTTTACACTTGTTCGCTTCGGCCCGGGTTCGAACCGGGACTTTTTGGTTACGAGACGAGCTCGGTACCACTGCGCTACGAGCGCTGCCTGGCGGCGAGGGAAGCCGTGCCGCGTGACTCTCTTCAGAAGATACTAGCTCCTTTCGGCAAGTCCAGAGTGCAAGTTCGGACAACTCTTACGGTTAATCTACCGTACACAGACAAATCTGCGTGAAGCGCGGGTGTACATTATTATTTCCGATAAATTGATACAACGGCTTACGCCTAGACTTGATTAGTAGACAATCTGTCAAAATTTTCATACCAAAATTATGAAAACAGGTTTCAGGATGACAAGTCTGAAAACTTTATCAGAATTTTCAGACCTTTTGCTTAAAATTCAGACTAACCGGTGTGATCTCAAATTTCAGAGTTCCTAGTCTGAAAATTCAAAGCAATTTTCTGAATTACCGATTCAGACTGCAAAGTCTGAACAAATTGAACTGAAATTTCAGAATTTTTTTTACAGTGAGACTGAAAAAAAATCCACTTCCGTTCCTAAATTAGGCAGTGGACTTCATGCTTTCCCCTGGGAGAAGTGTCTACAGTTACTCAAACAGTGCGAGTTTTATATGTGTTACGGCGAATGTCCGATCATCGGTGAAACCGGGCTTTCGCCGGCGAGAGTCCGGTTTCGCCTACCCGTAGCGGCGAAAGCCAGTTCTGACCTGGCTATCGCCGGCGAATGCCCGAAATCGGACTTTCACCTCCAGTGTTTTATGATCGGCGAATTCCCGGTTTCACCGCCGGGTGGCAACAATGGGGCTACGTTGCCGATGAACAGTTTTTAAAATTTTCAAACAGTACAGTTACACAATGCAGGACCCCGACAAACTCACGAGCCGCGAAATTTTTGATCTAAAATTAAAAGAAATTCTCTGAAAGCCAAAAAGTCACAAAATTTAGCATACACGATCAAAATTGAATATTCCAAATTCATCGAAGAAGTGAAGAAGGCAAAGGCGATAAGGGCGGTTAGGGATAAGCCGTGCCACGGTGGCCCAACGCTCCCTAGCACAACGTCGCCTAGCAAGATTTGGCGGTGTGGAGGTGAATTGGTGTGGAGAAGGCTTATCGCGGCCATGAAACCCGACCAGAACCAGATGCTGTTCTTCGTGCCTGTAGAAGAACTCCACAGCGTTCTCCAGGATGCCCACATGGGCAGGGGCTGAATGTTCGTGCCTGAGGTGCGAGGTTACGCGCTTTAAATTATGGAAGCTAGGCGGCTGTTTTTTTTGTTTCTTTTTTCTTTTAAAACGCTTTGCGCATATGGTAAGAACTCGGAATAGAGAATGCATTTGGCGAATTGCCTTTCTCGGAACTTCGTTCTTCACCCACAATACTACTGTTCGCAGCAAAACAAAAATATTTCAAAAACTCAAGAAATTGTTTGGCCGCGCCCTCTCGATGTAGAGGCTGTCTCCGTTGCGTGGTGTTACATTGAGGGGAGGGGATTTGGGCAGGCCACTTGGCCTAAACCACTCTAAATTTGCTCTATTGATCTGTGCAAAGCGTTTTACTAACACCAGCCGTTTTCGTGATGTCGAAAAAGAGCGTCACCGCTGCTCCTCGCTCGAGCAAGGTTTCACTCACGCGCTTCTTCCACTACAATTGGCCCCAGACGGATAAGTACCTGTCAAAGTGGGCCTCGATCCGCCTCACTATGCAGTTCTGTGATGAGTTTGGCGAAAGTGTGTGGACTTGTTACATCAGGCTTGGTTCCAGGGCTTCAACGAACACACCATATCAGTGCACGTGGCATTGCTGCGATCGTGTCAGCTCATGAACGCCCTATTTGGTTTGCTTCTTCCATTTTACCTGATGGTAAGTGACGAAGACCGCCCCAGGCGGTTTCAGGTGGGAAAAATCTCCGGCAGGCTTCCTGCAGGTGCTGGTTGCAACAGCCAAGCCAGCGAGCAAGGTCGGGGGCAAACAACTTGTATTTTTGTGTATACTTCCCTTGAAATAACATTGAAATGTGTAACGACGTTGAAATAACAATGAAATAACGTGAATTTGAAATAACGGTGTACAAATTTTTGCAAAGATGTTTGCCCCTCGAGCAAGGTGCAGCGGTTACGCGCTTCTTTGAACTTATAGAAACTTGGCCGGTCTTTGCAAATGCTTACACTCTCATTGCAAGAAAGTGACTTGTTGAAACGAATGTGACGAAATTTCTCTTTCGTTCGAGCATTGTGTCACATTCGTTTGTGTTAAGAGGTCTCAGTTCCGAAATCGTGACGGTAAAATTGAACTCTGTACACTCTCAGACTCGTTTTAACTTTTTTCTCTCCATTATTGACATTTTGTCCTTTGCTTACGTAGTTTTTTAAGCAGCAATAATATGTAGTATTTCCTTTGTAACCACTCTGCAAACTGAAATGTGTGCATGGCACGCTCTATTTGGAGCATGCCAAGAAGCACGCTTTAAATTGGAGCGTGCTTGGCAGGCACACTCTATTTTAAAGCGTGCTTAGCAAGCTCACTCTAAACTACAGCATGGACGGGGACGGGACGGCAACCACTAAATATGTACTAATGTAAAGTTTCCATTTTATACTTTAGGGAAGCAACATTTTAAGTCTTGTTAGTGCTGAGATGTGTTTTACGTCAACAAAGCTTCTCCGCTGTTTTCACAACTATTGATGTATAAAATGAAAACTTGAAATGTTGCTTCCCTAAAGTATAAAATGGAAACCTTGCATTAGTACATATGTATTAAATAATTAAAAAATAAAAGCCATTACGAGGATTCAGGAGTGTGGTTGCCGTCCCGTCCATGCTGTAGTTTAGAGTGAGCTTGCTAAGCACGCTTTAAAATAGAATTTGCCTGGCAGGCACGCTTTAATTTAGAGCGTGCCTGGTAAGCACACTCTAATTTAAAGCGTGCCTGCCAAGCAGGGTTGTTAACGTTACTTTATAGAGTAAAGACTTTACCAGCGTTACCGTTACCTTTACTGTAACGATAACGGTAACGCGTTACTTTTTGAGAAATGAGTAAAGTAACGACGTTACCGTTACCAAAGAGGAGTAACGCGGTAACGGCGTTACCGTTACCGCGAGGCATCAAAAAGAGCTACAAACCTATATTTTTCTCCCTTTCTCTCCCTGCTGTGATCAGCTCATTTGCCAAGGCGCTCAATCTGTTTCTGAGAGCAACAAATAAGCGTCTACACTCAGAAAAAAATCTTTCAACACTTGCACTTTTCTGAGTGTAGACGCTTATTTGTTGCTCTCAGAAACAGATTGAGCGATGCATCACTTGAAAAAGAGGTCCCATCGGCCATGAATTGGCAATATTGGTAGAAGTAGGTGCAGAAGTTTACATTAAATAATGTTAATCATTTAAATTTTACTGTCTTAACTTTGACTTTAAAATAAGTGGCAATATTGGGAGAAGTAGGTGCAGAAGTTTACATTAGAACGTGTTAAACATTAAAATTTTACTGTCTTTACTTTAATTTTAAAATAATCGTAGTTCACCCCAGCAATTTTAACCGGTAAAAATTTTGGCTTTTAAGGAATTTTAGGATTTGAAGTAACGATAACGGCTTTACTGCGTTACCTGTAACGGTAACGCGTTACTTTTTCAGAAGTCGGTAAAGTAACGACGTTACCGTTACTCAAACCCGAAGTAACGGTAACGGTAACGCGTTACCTTTAAAAAATAAAGTTAACAACCCGCTGCCAAGCACGCTCCAATTTAAAACGTGCCCTT